ATTCTTTTATAGTTAGGTATATCTCTCCGCGGAACTGACTGAACCGAAAGGCACCGCGCGGCTGACGATGCCGTAATGCCGAAACACGTGTTTAGCACTGTATAAGTTCCATAACAGACCTCAAAAAAGGCTCAAGAAATGCTATCAGATAATGGGTTAAAGAATTGTTCTGCAGAAGTAGCGTAAAAAACAATTACGACGTTCATAGACGAAGCCCTTCATTCCTCACTGAGAGTGGAACGAAATCAAACATGATGGCGTTTTTCTCACTCCCTCGATCAGAATATGTTCATTTTCATATTTTTCACATACACGTTTCTACTCCTTTCAGGGCACCCTGGATCGCATCGTCGAATCCATAACAATGCATCTCCTCGCTATCAAAAATGAGTTGAGACGATCGAATGGCATAGTAGCTAGGAAATGTTAAGAGACTTTCACTTCCAATAATCATGGTGGACCTACCAACGAAAATCTATGAAAAAAGAGTCGTCATCTTCGAGTAGCGTTACTTCGAGCTGCCTTTGTGCTATCAGTTCAATTCACCAATCTAACATCGGAAGAACAGTGCTTTAATCCGTTAGGAATCGCGTTGATTTTTTAAGCGGTGCCCTAGAGTGACAGTGTGTGAGGTTTTTTGATGAAATTTGTAGTTTTGTCACCAATAGAGGGAACTGTGTCATCAGTAGATTTTAGAATATCATAAAAAGAACACAAAAAGGTTATTATAGTGGAAAAAGGTTCACTTCCTCTAAATCAGCTCATTTTCATAGAGAATAGTAGATGCCTAGAAAAATCCACATTTCATAATGGTATTGAACATTTTCATGCTCTCTCTTATAGCTACCCATATTTCAATCATATACCCTTTACTTCTTATGCCGGCAACATTTCGCCTTTATATCTTTGATCCAAGTGTTTTCTTAAGAAACGCTCAAATTTCAATACTCCATATAATTATTTTTGGGCCACGCATGTGGCCTGTTATATAGGGCTGACTTATAGAGTCCGATACACGTGTTTCGACCTAGTCTCGTCAGTCGGGCGATACCCTCTCTTTAGCCAATCCTCTCGGGGTACTCAATCCCCTGTACTAAGAGTAAGCGACGACGAACATTTTGCAGTTTAAGTCAAGTGAAGTTATCACTGAACAGACAGTGACAGAGGGCAGCGCCCCGGACTGATGAGACCGTCAAGGTCGAAAAACGTGTATCGGGCTTTATAAGTCAGCCCTATATAACAGACCACATCCGTGGCTAAAAAATGATTACCTGGCATTTGACCTTTATCATTATTACAAAAAAAGTGCTATAAAGTCAATTACATTATGATTTTACACTTCTGAAATCTTATATAGAGGTATGATCGTTTCAGTTTTAATATGATCTCATTCCATACAGTATCTCAAAATCATCAGTGGGATTGAAAATCACAAAGCAATGAGTAGTTTGCCAAGAATGACACTGCATACTGCATGCAAGGCCACTTCACCGAAAACACCTTAGAATTTTAAAATCATTGAAACCGTTCAGCAGTTGGACATCCATGTATAGAACAGGCTTGATTCTACCGTTTTATGGGTATTAGCTCTTTTGTTGTCCACCTTCAATTCACTGTGAAAATTCAAAGTCGTTGCAATCTTTGCCACTTGGCATTCCCGCTGATGCTGTCTGTTCTACGTATCCTTCTGGTTCCCATATCTTCAAAGAACTGTTACATGACCGCATGCAAGCAGTTTCGAATACCATCGCTACGCCAGAATTCTTCAAGTCGCCTTCTGCTTCCGAATATCATCCGCGTTCACTATACTACGGAAATGCAAGATGAGTGGGAACTTCTTACATTATTGTTGACTTGCTAATTGTAAAAGCTGCGAGGAGAACCACGCCTAAATGAATCATTCAAGTAAAAGCTATGTGCTGCAATTAAATATTATTGAGATACAACTGATAATTGGAAGTGTCAATTAGTAAGCAACAGGTTATACAACCGGCATGTCAGCACAACAGTGCTCAATATGCCCTAAAGGCATGATTGCATGGACATAGGCACAGTTTATCCGTTCTCTTGTAAATTGTGCGACTGTAAATACATTATCGAAACGGGTAGGCCAATGGGTGTCGGCATAAAAGAACTAGCCGGAAAATTTAAAGCAAAACCAAGTACTTCGCTAGATTCGCTGAATACATGACGGAGAGAGTTTCGAAGATGAAGTCATTATTATGTCAAAAGAATAAGACATCAACGTATAAGGCTTTAGGAAGTGTTCTGGATAATCACCTCTGACCCAAAAATGAATAGCAAGAAGAAATGGCTCGTAATCACACGTGATATGACATAGTTTATAAGATCGTCATCTTGATGTGGGAATTACATTACCAATCCATGTGATCTCTGTCCAAGTGGTCTCCACTTGAGAAACTAAGTGAAGAACTCGTGCAAAGAAGCTGTTATGTGCTTGATGCAATAGAAAATTAGACTTGGTGACTTTTCTCGATGAAGTAATGAAGTCTTGATGGCTGGATTGTGAGCAACCTGATCTTCCAGGTTCTGGAAAAGCGAAACTGCCGCAACGTTAGCCATTTGAATAGATTGTGTTGATTAATATACAGTCTTGATTACGGAGAAGAAAAGGTACTTTTCTTCGGCAATCATTACCAACCTTTTGTGTATGCTCCCATTGAACTTTTAGTGATGATTCGAGAGCTTAAGCTTCAGGAAACTCAGAAATACGTTTTTTCTCTAAGAACGCAGCGTTTAAAATAGAAGTATGTCTCTCACGTGTCGCGCTTACCGCGCTTAAATCTCGCACGACATTGCATTTCCCTTAGACTATTAGTAACTATTCGATAGCGTAAGCCTCCTCAATTCCAGCACTATGTTTGTCTTTGAAAAAGAGCTTTCTACTGTACTATAGCTGGTAGGATAAAATTGAGTTATCCGTAAGCCTATCACTGCTTTCCGATCAATATATGGTGATCGATGACCGCAGAGCGAGGATTCATATGTGTAGAGCGATATTTTGTTACTGAATCTGAAATGTTATCCTCTTTCTCAAGAAATTGAAATGGAATAAACGAGTCCGATGCTTGAAGACTTACTCTACTCGTTTATATGCGTCTCGTGGTAAGGTTTAGGCTGCTTGAGTGCTTGAGCTTAGTAGCAATTATAATTGGCAATATAGAAAAATAAGTCATAGGCACTAGGTTGATAGGGCAGAATATCTTCTACAATGCAATACAAGAAAATAGATACATTTTTGAAACGGCTAAGTTTACAAAAAGTTTTAAAAATCTTCGCAATAATGATCGACGAGTGCAATATACATTTCTATTATGGATGCTACAGCGCCGTAAGAAGGCCCCTCTAAAAAGTCTAAATTTTTGAATTTTGCAAGATTTAAGCTTATCAGTGGTTGCTGATAGTTCAATGAAAAGTTTCCATCCAGCAAAAGAGATCTCTTCAAAAACCCTGTCCAATAACGGAAATGATCCGCGCGATGATATTGGTGAAGCAACTGCATAATCGGGCGAATGACTCTCCATCTTATTAATTGTGTTCCCGTCATAATACAGTTTATTCGAATGCTTCCTTTAGTTGTTGTTGCATCATCTTATCTAAAACTTTTGTAGAAAATTCAAGGCAGTCCATTATTTCATTGAAAGAGGCACAAATTCTTAGTCGATAGACTATGAAACGCGCTGCCTAATGGGAACTGCTGGAATTCATTATTAACTACGGAACATAGCGTACCATCCATAAGGCGTGAGTAGGTGAAAGACGTGGATTTCAGGCACTTTTTGCACCAATCTGTCTAACGTCCTCACTATTGTTGCTGTATACGGTGGTATTCTGGGAGGAAATCCAGTCGGAGTGAATAAGCAGCAAACAATTTTTCGTTCACAACTTTCTTCTTCACATTTCAAAGAAACCAGAACGTTATAATGTTACAACATCAATCTTCACTTTATCACATTGTTGCAGCGTAGCTTCTGCTATCACTGTACTCATGCAGAAATGACGCAGAGTGCATTTTCACATAATCCTTTCTTAGAGTTTGCGCATTTGTCGCGATTTCTGCATGGATTCCCGGTTGTGTACACCAAAGTTCCAATTTGTGCTCGACTGAAACAAAGTTTTCGACTAACTGACGAGCAATTCTAAAATTACTCAATTCGTATTACTTACGGTTGTGAGAAGACACACGCTGTTGATATACTGCTTCCACAGTAGGTACTGGAGCAGCCAACGGCAGTTGCGTTTGCATTAATCATCTGAAATCAGACTAAAAACAGTGCTGCTTATTGTAGCCTTCAATCAAGTGAACGCACATTAGCAAATTGAAACGATGCGTTGTTTCCATCATAGAGGTTGGTGGCTGGCCAGTTTGCATTTGAAATCCATGTCCACTTGTATATTGAGTTGATAATTGGGTTTGTATCAACTTCTAGAGACTTCTTTGATTCATAACTAAATTTCGAGAATGAAAAGCAAATATTTTGCAATTCCAAATAAGCTGTTATTCATGACAAGTTCCCTAGAGTTAATGTCTAAACTTACTAGTTGAAATTAACAGCATTTCGCTTTCCTGTAAGCCGTGAAGTTTGAAGACAGCGTTTCACATCCTTTTCAGCGACTGCTTCTAGAGTGCAATCCCATTTCTAGAAAGTCTCACATTTGGAATGACATTCTCCGCACTCTGTGTAATGTTCAGTTGCGATTTTGTGGAAATGTTGCAGCAGAATGTCTTAATTTTATATAATTAGAGTGAAAGAAGATTTACCAGTTTGTTCATATCATTTGAAGATGACACGCCGTACTGTCGGAAATATCCCAAAGCAACACTAGCACGGGCGGAGTTCAGAATTCTAAGAACAGTTTCTCTAGTGGAGTCATTCAGAGTTCCACTGCAACGAAGCGCTGAAACAGAAAATAACAATAAATGGGTCTCAACAGAACAATAACCGCAACAATAATGTGGAGTGCTGTGCAGAATCATTTGCGTCAGCCGGGATTCGAACCTAGATCTCACTCTTTCCGGGACCGTATGCTAAACCGTCGCACCACCGACACTCGTTTTGCACGAAACTCTTTCTACGCTACAACGTGTTATCTGTGCTTCCTTTACAAAGCACGCCGAACCACTACTGCCTTGTATGTTCTTTAGCAGTTAGCAACACACGCTCCCGGAAATACTCAGATCTGGGTTCGAATCCCAGTTGACGCAAATGTTTTTGCACATCACTCTACATTAATTTATACATTGTAAGATCATAACACTGCAAGAGTCGGTCAAATAAATAAATTTCAACTGGCTAATATCCAGGACAGTTCTTCGCAATGAGCGATGAAATAAAACGAATAAAACTTTTAGCCTTAATCTAAAGAATGCACCTTCCATTCTACATCATTAGGCATCGTTGAAGGTGACCGAATACCTATTTGGTCCTTACATTGACACACGGTAGCCTGCTTACTTTGAAGCCAGCGTTGTTATCCTCTCAAACAAATCTTACATCAATTTGCCGACAGCGCACGATTGCAGTAACGAGAAATCGAATCAAAAACCACTTGTTTGACACCGGACACATCCAGAAGGACGTACACACGTAGTGAGCAACTAAAGTGAAAAACTGGAAGCACTTACTCGTCTCGGATTCACCAGTGCACGCACCAAACTGAAGAAGCTAAAACATATAATATATGTCTACAAATAAATTCATATGGTTAATTTGCAAAATTAAATTCTTCCGTATTGCGGAGATCTCAACTCCGTGTTTCATAGTCTAGAAAGCGTAATTCACAATCTAGTGGCTAGACGGTCTAATGTTTAAGTTAACACAATCAATAGTAATTAGCTACGGTGTTTAAGGGATTTTTGAAATTTATGCTTGGACTATAAGAGGTCATCAGGCAGTCGGAGAAATTTATGGGATCATCGGAGATCTTGAGGCATGTAGATTGCAATTTTAAGGAGAACTCTGTAGCTCTTGTGACAGTAATGATATTACAACTGGTTAGCTACCCCTTCGTATGATCTTCTTTCACAACCGACAACGTATTTCTCACATCAAAAATGTACTAAAGCCTTGATATTTCTTGGCGATATCTAACCACTGAGATATCAAAGTGATTTATGGTTGACAACGAAGTATTATTCACTGACCGCAAAAACGGGGAAAAGCAGAAGTGCTGGTTGCATTTCGGATGTACAGTGTGCAGAGGCTGCTAATTCGCTTCTGGTTGCGGAACCGTAGTGGAGTTACACTGATTATTCAAACTTCGTGGGAAGCATTCCTTTTAAATAAACCGTTTGAATGAACTTTGGCCGTCCGCTGTATTATACAAATTCCAATAGGATTTATTTGAAACGTCATCATTATCGTTGACAGACAAATCCATAAGGCATGTCGTCGGCAAGACTAAATCACAATGTCGGTCGGCTCAAGTTTTATGTGTCATGATCATCGAGATGATGGAATTACCTCTGACTTTGACTGAGAAGTGCTTATACTCTGTGCATTTTATTCCTATGACTTCCTAGTTACTATAGTAAGGTAAAATCCTTAATTCTTGGCTCAATGCAATATGCTTGGCTCAAAAATCACTATTAGGCATACTGAAATTCGAGCATGATTAAGAGAAACACTTGAAACGAAAGGTATGATAAGGTAAACTTGTCCAAAAACACCGCTATGCTATCAAGTTGAGCAGATTAGTATGAGGGGAATAGTTGTATAAGCGAAATTTGTGATAGTCGTAGAATATTAATCTGCGAAGGATGAATATCACATTACGGCTTGATGGTGTTCAACATCAATCAAACATATCCATATGAGTTGGAAAACGATGATACACTGCTCACCTGGAAAATATGTCAAAAACCGTAGATGGAACAAAATCTTTCATTTGTTGCTTGCGGCACGGTAATAAATTTGCTTGACTGAGGTGGTTGCCACTAAATTGAGCTTTCCAGGCATCGGAGAAGTGCCGATTGACCTCCACGAAACATAAATTATATTAAACCTTTCTGATACATTTTTAGCTTCCAGAGTTCATTCGTATCTCAGCATTCATGATGTATGGGTGACGTTTTGGAATCATCACGGTTTCACTCTGACTAATTTTCCTTCCCGACACTCTTATGGAAGAAATTTAGGATCAATAGTTGAGTTTGTAACTTTGCACTTATGCCAAATTTTTTGGGAATTTTGTGTGTAGTCGCAGTAAACCTAATTATGTATTCAAATTCTACATTTGCAAGTTCGGAAAACTTATGATAATGGCGCAGCAACGACCTGATGCTCGGACATCACCTGCCGTATTCAAAATATTACCGTGTCGAGGAGTTCAGTGTGAAGGTCGATGGTTTCAGAAGAATCCAAGTATGGTAAACTTGATAGCGATTGGTTTGATGGACATGCTTCTCAAGTGCCTCATTAAAACTTCTTCTGCATATTAATCAGTTACCAGTCCGTCGAGTTGAGTCATTCGAGAATTCACAGAACCTTCTTCCTCTTAAAATTCAAAAACTCTTTTTCTTGAGAACTCAACAAGAAAAATTGAAATTGTAAATCAATTATAATCTGTTACAGTGATAGTTGAAGAATCTTAGGTTTATGTCGTTCAATATATCGACACACCAAAATATGTTCTAAATCAGATCATCGCATTGCAGGCATTGCGCCATTTTACAAACTAGACCTTAAAATCAAATTAGCAATGCCTGAAATTAACGGATGAGGTTCTTATAAGTTTCGACTTAGAAATGACTGCCAAATTCATCATTCATGATCGAAATACTCTTCAAAATGAAGTGAAAAGGAAACGTTTGTCGTCCTTGTGGCAGAATAATTCTAAATAATATCTTCATATTCTATTGTCTTTCAAACCTCCCTCTTAACAGTATAATCTGACAATGGATTTTTTTTGAGCTTTCATGAGATCTTTCGTAGGCACTTATACAATGAAATACACGTGCTTCGGCCTTGCATCCTCATCAGTCACACGGTGCCTTTCGCCTGCGCCAATCCGTTCTGGGTAAGAACTTCTTTACATGAAAAATTTCTCAGCGACCATTTGCGCTGTCGCATGTAAAGTGAAAATTCATTTCACACATGTCACTGTATGTCCAGTGACGTGAACACCTGACACTGCACTGATTAATGGTCGATTGCTTACGGCTGGTATTCTTCCAGGTGAGGAGGTTTTCCCTCTAAGGGAATGGCTCAGACGAAAGGCACCGTGCAACCGACGATGCTGCAAGGCCGAAACACGTGTATTGCAGTGCATGATTGCCTATAAAAGACCTTAGAAAGGCTCAAAAAATTCCAAATAATTACAAGTATTTGATTTATTACATTATCTGCTAAGAGGAAAAATGACAGTCGTTCAGGATAGTCATTGAATTCAGTTGATGCTTCATGGTGTCAAACAATGAAATTTGATTGCACACTTGCTTTCTAACCAGTGTCTTCTTCACTAAATGACTATGGAAGATGTTCCGGAGGCAAAAAATAGGAAGCGCAAGCACCCTACGATAATGTGATGCTGTCGCGAAAATCTCCCTTTAGAAGAATTTCGGGCAACAAGCAAAATAGTCATTGAGTTGACATATTGCAGTAGATATTTGTGTTCGAATTCAGTTTTTGATAGTCGCATATCAAGAAAATCTTGTTGGCGTTATTGTAGTACGAAAAAAGGGGCGAAAGTAATCTAGATGACATTCAAAAAGTGATTGCTACCATTTTCGCTCTCTCAACACCATGAGGTAATATGACTAATGTCGAGTAGAAAATACCGGAAGTTAATGAGCACAACGTTGCCTTTGAGAAGACTTTAGCATCACGCTTGGTTGCCTCCTTATTTCAATTAGTGAGCAGCCCATGTCTACTTGAATACACAATACCTTAATGACGAAAACTTGTAGAAAAAAGATGTAAACCAATGTTATACTTTTATTTCGAGTGCTTTATTAAGAGCACGCTCAAATGTCTATAGATCCTTTCATTATTATTTGAGCCAACTTGTAATGTCGTCTGGTAAGGGCTCTTGTACTGTCCGATACATGTGTTTCGTCTTATCCCAGACAAGTCTGAGACCTGTCTGGTACCAATCTACCGACCCCGGAGGGATGGACGACTTGGTGAGCCATGAGCTCGAGATCGAACCATCGACCTCGTGTGCGACGCAGAGCACCTCTAAGCACTGCGCCACATGCGCCACATAATGCGTCGTGGCCGAGTGGTTGTGAGGCTCGGTGCAAAGCCTCACAGGGTTGTCAACAACGAACACTCTATGGAGCGCCACAGCTAGGCTATTCCCGAGATTGCAAAGAGACGTGCTCTACCAGTATAAAGGTATAATATGATAAAAATATCAGCCAAAGAGCAGTCGAGTGCGCAAACGCTCTGCGTTAGGTGAAAATTTCGTTTGACATAGAGTGTAAAACGTTCGTCTTCGATGACTTTCTATAAGGGAGTAGAGCTCTCGATAGAACTGACTATAAAAAAATCGAAGACGACGGGTTCTGCCCGACTGACGAGTCTGTAAAGACGAAACACGTGTATCGGGTAGTGCAAGAGCCCTTACCAGACCATATTACAAGTTGGCTCAAATAATAATGAAAGGATTAATGCAAACCTATGGTTTTCCTGTTTTCCTGACAAAGCTATATATTGAATCAAATTTCACTGCGCTTTGAAGCTATTACACGAAAAATCAGATTTCGAGTTTTGTGCGTATCTCAGCACTCTTGCAATTAAACCTCATACCCTGCGTTAGTAAGAAGAAATAGGCAGTCAAATGAAAGTTGAAGTTGCAAACGCATGACAGTCAACAACAGAAGAAATTTTATGAATATGGAAGGAATGTCGCTCTTAGAAGTTCTTGTATCGCTTGTAAAGGCTGTTTACTAATGAATTGGTAACGCTTGAATGTTCAGATACAAATGAAACCTTGTAAGAGAGTATGAAGCGGAAAGATTTGATAGAATTTATGCCTAATGGAGACAATGCGGTACTCATCAACGCCTCGAAAGGTCAACCTAATGGAAACCCACTCAGCCAAACAAA